AGTTTCCTTATATTAAACTAGAAAATCAAAAATATTGAATGGAATGGAGTGAGGAGTGCTAGCGTCTGCCTTCTCTCTTCTTTATTATTATTATTTTTTTAATATTTTTCCTATATCCAAAAATTACATTGAACTTATTAATTTAAAGTCACGTCAGGATAGACTTCGTATAAGAGAAGCTCTTCTACCTATTCTTTTATTTATAAAACTCGAATTCAAAATTTTACTTAATATAACCGAATTTATTCTACTCGCACCAATAGTTCGTTCGTGCCTCGTCTCTTTTCTCTTGGTTATACTCTCTCACCACTTCCTAAATCAGAAGCGAATTGGGATTAAGCTATAGTCACCGGCCGGCGGAGCAGAGCGCGTGTTGTTCCTGGTTCTTCCTTCCTTGTTCTCCTTCACTCACAGATCAAAATGACATTTAACCGAAATCAAAATGGCAAGACCTGTAAATTCTCATTAACATAAAGCCCTTTTCCTGAAATAACACAGCTACATTTCAGCAATTGGTTTGGCGCCTTTCTCTTTGTTTCCCGCGCGCCCCTCCCATTCAATAAACCTCCTTTCCTCTGTGTCCATCCAATCCTATAAAACTCACAATTTGTGGAATCGGAGAAGATAGAAGAAGCAGGAGGGGGATGTTTTATTCGCCGACATTCTTGGCTCGGAAGGGTCCCCTCGGTACCGTCTGGTGCGCTGCCCATCATCTGCAGCACCGTCTCAAAAAGTCTCACTACACCTCCACTGATATTCCCTCCACCGTCGGTATGTATGTCTCATCGATCTCATCATCAACTCTAATCTTTATTTTCTTTTATTTGTAAAATGAATTTCAACCGATTGGATGTAATTTACCATTGCGAGACAGGCAAAATGGAAATACTTCATGGTTAAAAATCCCGTCTTTTCTTTGAAATAGGCTTAAAAAGACAAAAACTTTTAGCTTGTTATGCTACCCTAATTCTGATTTGGCTATTGAATTTGACAATGATGGTATGTTCCAGTGCAAAAATCATCATCATTACTTGAGAATTAATTTTGACATTGATTCCTGATTGATTGTCATACAGAGCACATCATGTACCCAGACATCCCGATTGCACGGAGGATGTCAGGCCATCTTCTATTAGGTGTTGTACGGATATATTCCAAGAAGGTTAATTATCTCTTCCATGACTGTCATATCATCCTTGTTGGTTTGAGTAAGGCCTTTGATGCCAAAAAGGTGGATTTGCCCGATAATGAAAACCAAGCTCCAGTTCATGCTATTACTCTGCCCGAGACATTTAACCTTGATGCTTTGGAACTTGATGATGATGATATATACACTGAGGGGTAGGCTTTTTCCCTTAAGTCTTTATTTTATCTCCTGCCTTCTTCTTATTCTGCATGCATATTAAGATTGCATTAAATTTTGCTACTCAGGAGCCCAGATAATCATCTCAGGAATGAGGAAGACATCCGACTACCAGGTTAGAAATGGGCTACTATTTGCCTTTCTTTTCTATGCCTGTTTGTTGATATATTCAATTGTAACTGCTCCAAGGTGGGCTTCTTCTATCATCTTGCAGACCAAATTCCTACTGGAGCAAATCCTTATATTGCCATAACTTTTGATGAGGTTAGTCAATTCTTTTCTATCTGTTAAAATTGGAGTCTTCATTTGCTTCGTGTTGATCAATTATTTGTTTTTGGCTATGTGAATTGCAATTTCACCTATGGAAACATCTGTTATATGTAGGATATGATGGATCTATTGCATTCAGAAGCAGCTCCTGAATCAGGAATCCAACTAATGGATGAGGAGTATGTTCCTTATTTTATTTGAAAACTCTATTTTGAATCTTTGAGAAAGGAAATTTCAGATGGAAGCACGCTTATGATGATTTCGTTTTGTTTTTCCTCTAACAATTTCAGTGTCATTCTTCAATCTCCCATTGGTGGTAATCTCCAAAACAAAGAACTAAATGCAGCAGTAGCTTTTCAAGATCCTGGTCCAGCTAATGAGACAAAACTGCCTGGCACAAGCATGGCTTTTGGGGGTACAGGTCCAAGTAGCCAGACAGAAGTACTTAGACCAACTATGGATTTCTACAATAGTCATCCTGGCAATGAGACAGAAGCACCTAATATCATTCATGATGACATCGTCACTCAAGATTTTCCAGAAATTGAAGTTAGGCGTGATACGGTCCCTGATATTAGCAATGAATGCCTACCTCTAGGGCATCCAGAGCAGAGAAATGATGCAAGTGAAATGAGAGTATCTTTGGAACGAATTTGGGATGATAAGGAGATTCATACTCCAATTCTCAGGAGTATGTCAACTTCTGGAGCAGAGTCTATACCATTTCATGACCACTCTGGGCCACCAATGTTTGCTGCTTTTCGAGAGTCTCTTGGGAATTTGTCTGGTGGGTTCTTTGTTCTAGTCTAATTGTTGGATGGAAATGTTATTTCTGCCTCAATATGCTTACCTATTGCTATTGAATAAAGTTTTCAGGCTTTTATTGTTTCTTTGTCTAGGACATAAATCACCTCAACTTGCCATTCAACCCTCTCCACCAGTACAGCAGCCAAGAAAGAGACAGAGAACACGGGGGAGGTTCTTCGATAATGAACTAGTGTTGTCTGATAGGTATGTCTGCCAGGATGATATGTATGGCATTCTTGTTTTTTGAAGCCAAATGATTTATAGGAAAATGGATAGGTCTATGAAGAAGGCACTTGAAGATTCTAGTGATCTAGTACAGAAGAGAATGAATGTACGTGCCTCTGCTTTGGCTGTATGGAAATCAAATAGCATTCTCAGAAAGGGACAATTATTTCATGGGGCTTCAGTAACAGGTAAGATGGTCGTTCATATTCAGATTTTTTTGCATCTTGGCTTCAAGGTTTAAGGAATAGGTTTGATGAGAACATGGATACTGTGTACTTGCAGGGTTGTGTGTTGATATATCTGAAATGTTTGAGAGGGACTACACCTTTGCAAAACCCAATTTACCTGTACTACAGGGAGCTGTTTCAAGTCCTCGGATTTTACAATCTCCTGCTCCAAGCACAGAAGCCGAGGATTTGCAGATTCCTGCTACTGCAACTGCAGCTGAAGCTAGCCCAGAGCATAGGGCTGGAAGACCTGAAGCTGCAGTGCCTGAAATTGACAGGGAAACTGAATATCTTCGAGATGATCAAGGCAGTGCTTACAACAATCTTTTATATGAATTTGAGCCCTCCCCATTGAGACCAATATGTTCTGCAAGGGATGATTCATCTCCATTATCAATTAACAGTTTAAGATCAGAGACAACACCTCGGGTACTTCCAACACCAGACGCTGCAGCATTCACTGGAAATCATGGATCTGCGTTTGAAACACCAAGGGCATTCTTGGATAAGGGACTGGTTCTGGGAAGCATGGGTCTTTCAGATATTCCTGAGATGCTGTGTTCTGCAGAAGCAAGTCTAAGCTTCAATATCTTGCTGCTTTTGAAATGATATAATGATGTGCCTTTGTTTTCAAGGATCTCATGCATCATCATTTTAGATTGTGATTTTAATTCCATTGAGTTATATTGTAGGATCTTTACTTTCTTGAAGATGATAATAATTCCCCAACTGGTACGTGAATACATTTTATAATTTTTTTTCCAGTTCATTTGCATGAAAATAACTTTTTGTACTCCTGTTTCAGAGTTCCAAGCTAGTCATGGAGTAGATTCCTTGTCTGTGAGAACCAGGTGCTTCTTCTTGAATGAAAGAAACTTTATTCTTAAGGGTATATGCCTTGAGTGGCCCCTAATATATATTCTGCATTTCTTCTATACAGAGCAGCGGCTCAATATTTGAAGAAGCAGTCTCCTATAACTGCTATCTCAGAAAACTCATCTGGAGATCTCAGTTTGAATAAGATCTTAGAAGGAAAAACAAGAAAATTATGTGCTCGAATGTTTTATGAGACATTGGTACGTTTCAACTCAACCCTCTAATATATGCTTGCTTCATTTGGATGAGCATCTGTTAATTCTTTTCAAACATAGGGTTCTCATAAACTTTTCCTATTTTTAAAAGCATCGAGAAACCCGTTTCAACTTTATTGTAACATAATGCCTTCCTGATATTCATTTACCAAATACAGGTTTTGAAGAGTTATGGAGTTATTGATGTACAACAAGAAAAAGCTTATGAAGATATCACTTTGAAGTTGACTGCAACTCTATCTAAGGCCCAGATATAAGGTTATTATATTTATTCTGGTGGACTGGCTTTTATGTTTATTGCATATTGGTAATACTCTAAGGGCCAATTTATGCAAGCTTTGTCTTATTGTTGTAAATAATAACATCTTGTTACTTAGCTATTGCTACTTGATCAACCTTTTTATCTACAAATTTAGGCTCATATGCTAAGCTCTGTTTTCTATTTACAGAATGAAGTTAACTACAAGTTGCTAAAAGGAACAAGAAAGGAGCTTTTGGTTGGCAGAAATACAAATCTTTTGATCTTCAGTAGATATGTGCATAGTAAAGGCAACATTATTGGAACAAAGTATCAATGCAAAGCATAAATATATGGTTGCAATTGCATTAATTTTGGGACCCGAAGAAAAACAAGCATATCATTTTGAACTTAGCTACAATAGAGCAGACTCAAATTCTTGCACATACACTAGCTCAAAATATTGATCCAAAGTTTTGGGTCTGTTGTATACTCTATTGTCTTTCTGATGACTTCTCTTTTCAGTCTGGTATGCTATGCATATGTTTTAATATTTTGGTAATGCTCTGATGAGTGGTGAGAGAGATGAAAATCTTGTAATGGATATTGTTGACATCTCTAAACGGTTGGTCACCAGAGACAGGACTCTCAAACCTTTATCATGTCTGGTTAGGGAAATTAGAGCAGTAAAGGAATTAGATTGTTGTCACAAGAAGTGCTCTGCTATGCAGTTTTTATGTTGCTTTCATCCTTCAAAAGCATAAATTGTTTAGTATTTCAGATTTTCATATATCTATCAGGAAGAAAACTGTCAATGTCCAGCATAGAAAGCTAGATAGTAATTCAAACAATGAGTGTTCAACTATAATTATCATTGCCTTAATCTAGAAATCCATTATTTCCTCTAACGATTGCTTCTGGCAGGTTCTATTCAATTTTATTGATCAGTGTTGTTTTATCTAGGAGACATAGAATTTTGACCTGCTGAATGGAATCACGTACAATACATTTGATTTATATATCCATGCAGGCCATTGCATCCATGGTGCATGCACAGGAAGCTGATCCTACAAATCTGGAGGTGCTTCTTGCTCTTGGTGTGAGCCATACAAATGGTAAGTGGTTGCTTTTCCAACTATTTACCCATTTTTTATACTAGTCTTATTCAAAATGCTTTCTAGACAATGGTTATCTCATTTACTCCATGATGAGATTCTTCTCTTCATTGTGATGGTGTGTTCAATTTCTTGATCATTATGTATGAAGGTTATTAGGATGTAAAATATTTTTATTTTTTCATTTTATTCCTTTAAATTAGGGTTGGAGCAGACAGCTGCTTTGAAGTATCCATATTGATGGTTATGCCATCACCCAAAGTGTGGAACTCTCACAACACGAGCTCTCTGAATCATTGTATTATGCTGATGTAAGTGCACTTTAGGCAGAACCATTTCTCTCTCCTTTTTACTCAACAATAACGCCATTCTAACTGTTTTAAGAAGGTTCTTTGCAGAAAGTTGTTGGGGCAATTGGAATGTTTTTTCTTTTTTGTTGGCCAGCTGGTCAATTGGAACATTTGGCCCCAAATTATGATGTCATTTGATAATATTGAATTTTTATAAATATTATTTGATAGAAGTATGAAATTCACTGATAGGTTTGTGCATGTTTTTGCTTTCCATAAGTTCTATGCTGTCTAACTGTTAGCCTGCTTTAGCTTAAAATATCATTTGTCTGGCTATCCTGGTAGGCTCAATGCAGGCTCCAAAATTTGTCTTCAAACTGTGCTTCCCTCTCCTTGATAATGGAATCTGCAACCTTTGATTTCTGTGGACCCTGCCATCCTAGCGAGTTAGAATTGAAAATGTTGTTTACAATAGATTATACTGATTCATTTAGGTGATCATTTTTGCTAAAGTTTGAACCATAGATGCTAAGTTCTGTGGATTAAAAGATCATGATTGAGTAGATAATTTCCAAGTAGACAAAATTATTCTTCCTCCTCTTCCTGAATAAAATCAAGGGAAGGTCAAATGAATGTTTACTTTTGTAAGAATCATGGACCTTTTTTCTTGTGGTTCACATTTAATTCTGTTTTTCCTTAAATTAAGGTATTATTAGGTTGTGTTTCATTTTCTAAGATTCCCAACAAATTGCATTGTGGGGAATTGGTTTGCAGATTGCTAGATTATTCAATGAAGCTGCTCAAATGTCACCTGAGGATGCTGACGTCCACATAGAACTTGGTGTCCTATATAATTTGTCAGGGGAATATGATAAGGCTGTTGCATCTTTCAAGACAGCCTTGAAACTCAAACCTAATGACTACTCCCTCTGGAACAAGCTTGGGGCAACACAAGCAAACAGTGTGCATAGTACTGAAGAAATATTGGCCTATCAACAGGTAGTTCCTACATCATTACCCTTTTACCGTATAGAAGATTAGTTTATTCTACTATGTTTTATGCCAAATTAATTAGATGCTGAACGCAAAGGTATTTCAATTCTAGAGTTATTTACCTTTCGTCTTGTAGGCTGGACGGGGGGGTTTTATGATTATGAAGTCGTTTGTTTGCATCAGTGTATTCAGTTAGCAACTTCCACATCTCTTTTCTAATCTTTATTTTCTGAAGTCCCAACTTAGCCTTTTCTGTCTATCTTCATGATTTATCCATGGTTTGTAAGCCACATGTGGGCCCAAAAACCTTCTAATGCTAAAATAAAAGGGAAAGAAATTGGTTTTTACATGATTGTATCATTGACCACGATGCACAAGTCTTTTTGAAGATTTATGTAGAAAGGTAACAAAGGCTATGGAATGTTTAAAGCTTATAGTTGGAGGTTTTTTGTGGTGTTTTTGT